TATATATATATATATATATATATATATATATATATATATATACTTGAAACACCATGAATTAATCTTGCAATATACCAATAATTTACGTACTTACGTAACTGTAATGTATATACATATACGTTTGTTTTCTTCTTTTTAGATGTAGCGCAGAAATGTCGCCTTTTTGAGGGGCCACAAAATAAAACTGTATTCAAAACAGAGGTCCAAGAAGTATTAAGGGCAGTGAAGCAACGGTGCCGAAAGAAGAACAAAAAGAACGAAGTACCTAACACTAAGAAACATATAAACAGCGAAGAAGAAAATGATACGGGTGAAACGACGAACAATCGGAATTAAAAAGCGTTATATTCATTGTCAGTTTTTAGAACCTGCCACTTTTTTTACTTATTCCAAAAATATTTAAGTTGTAATAGTAAACTTATACAAATATATACTACACTACATACACGTACTTATAGATTGTTAGTGCAAAACCAAAAAATATATGTAATAATATATGTATTAATTGATATGTATTAATTTCTCATATAAGATTTGTTTCGCGTCACATATCATCCCAACGTGCTCCTACTCGCTCCAACGCACTCTGATTGGTTCACGTCACCACGCGGACCAATTAAAGTTCGTTGAAGCGAGTAGGAGCACGTTGAGGCATACGACGCGAACAAACCTATAATCAATTTCAATAATAAATAGTAATATTTTTACATTTTTATATTTATAATTATATTGTATATATAAAATCACTAGACGGATTTGCCCTCATATGAGATTGATATTGCTAAAACGCATGCGACTTCACGCGTGCGAGCAATATGAATCTCATATGCGTAAAGTCACACACGTGCGAGATATATGAGTCTCATATGCGGATCAGAGATGTGTCCTCAGTGGAGGCTCATATGACCCGCACACATGAGGTCGCACGTGTGCGAGCAATATGGGTCTCATATGAGGACGCATCTGTATGATAACATGCGTGCAACATTATGAGCATGTGTGAGCACACCATGATATCACTGTGACAACATTTTGTTATCTGGGTAGTTTCTCTTGATGCAATCTCTCTTTTTACTAATATTCCTCTGGATTTGGCGTTGACGTCGGTTGATAAATGTTGGCATTTTATTGTCGATTCTATCATGATTCCTCGCAACGAGTTTTTATTGGCGTTGGAATTTGTTCTCAATTCTACATTTTTTACTTTTGACAATATAACTTACAAGCAAACTTTCGGCAGTCCAATGGGCTCTCCATTGTCCCCTATTATTGCTAACATAGTTCTTCAAAATTTGGAAGAAAGAGCTATTAATATGATTCCTGTGACATTGTCTTTTTATTTTAGATATGTTGACGATATTCTTTTAGCAGCTCCAAAAAAGTTTTTGGATAACATTTTGAACTTTTTTAATTCGTTCCATCCTCGTCTTCAGTTCACTATGGAGATAGGAGATGACTGTATTAACTTCTTAGACACTACACTGTTAATACGTAACAACACTATTATTTTTGACTGGTATCATAAACCAACTTTTTCTGGCCGATACCTTAATTATTTGTCTTTCCACCCTATTCAACACAAGATTGGCATAATTATTGGCTTGGTTGATCTCAGGATCTCAAGAATGTTTTATCTCAGTCATCCTTTTTTCCATAGAAAAAATTTAGATTTTATTATTTTGACGTTAATTAATAATAATTATCCTTTCGACTTAATTTTTAAAATTATTAAGC